TTGAGCAGTGAGGGATCTTTATCGTGCCAACTCCTGCCGTGACACGGGACCTCGGTTTTTAAGGTCTCATCCGAAGGTCCCGAAACTTTCACTTTATAGTGCCGAGGGCGTGGCGAAGGAACAGTTGCTACCCATTTTTAATCGACTTAGGTCAGTACCGGCCGAGATTCGAACTCACGTCCTCCCGATCACGGAGCGAGAGCTCTACCGACTGAGCTACCGTGAACGGTGAACCGCGACTGGAAGGTGAGATGTACATAAAAGCCTTCTTAGTTTTCATGGTTTCGAAAATTATATTGGCAATACCCTTGGACACTTCACCTTGCCAATAGTGCTGGGCACCAATGAGGATTCAATACTTTAATAGTGACAGGGAGCCAACGTTTACTAATTGTTGGGACAATTGTCGGGGGGGGGGGGGGGACACGACGAGGTTTTTATTATACCATTCGAAAAAAAAAATTACTACGATAATTCTGCGCATGCTTTTATACCAGATTTGTGAATCTTCCACTTAAAAGAAAACAAAGGTATGTAAATTAACCAAAAAATCTAAGATAAGAGTTATAATTTTATCAAAATAATTCCATGTAAAATTCATGCCTGGAACATCCATTTGGTGATCCTTCTCGTGCCAAAGGCGCTCCTCTTTTGTGTCTCGCTGTATTCTTTTGAATCTGTTGTAAAATATAGGGTGTTTCTTCAGCCAATCTACAATTTCTGCCTCTTGTTCATTACTAAAGTTAAAGTTCTCTCGCGGTTTTTTTTTTTTTGGGGGGGGGGGGGGAGGGGGGTCCAATTCCTTTTGTGGGGCGGATTTTCTAGATACCACGTTCTTTAATTTCAGGGCTATTGTTGTTTATTTTTTCATTTCTCCTCTTTCTTTGATTTTTGACGGATAATCAGATAACTTCCTTTATAGTCAACGTGTACATTTGTACTAACTCCTAGTTCACTCGCCATCAAACACCTGCTTTAGTATCATGCTAATATGATACTAAAGCAGGTGTTTGATGGCGAGTGAACTAGGAGTTAGTACAAATGTACACGTTGACTATAAAGGAAGTTATCTGATTATCCGTCAAAAATCAAAGAAAGAGGAGAAATGAAAAAATAAACAACAATAGCCCTGAAATTAAAGAACGTGGTATCTAGAAAACAAAACACAAGCTACGGCCATTTTGCCTCTTCAGCATGGATAATTTAGTATATAAGGTAAGTATAGTTTTCCTTGTGATATCCATTTTACATAATTTCTGAATTTAATCCATAGAAGCGAATATGGCAATTTGAGTAAACTGTATTTAGTAACGACTACTTAATATTTATTTGTTGTAACTCTAGAATTTTTCACTCATATGATGATACCACTAATTGCCGGTGCAGAGCTGCACATTTTGACCTATACTCGGCACTCACGGCCATTGAGCAGTGAGGAATCTTTTTCGTACCAGCACCTACTGCGAAAAGAGACTTTGGTTTATACGGTCTTATCCGAAGGACTGGTATCCACGTCCCGCAATGGGATTGGAACCAACAGACGCTCTATCCACTGCGCCACGCGGGTGACTTCCTCAAATGTAGATAATCACATTCAGGATTAGCTATATTCAGCACTTGTGAAACTGGTTATTTCTGATAGATGTTCATCCCAGTATAAGACAAAGGGACCTTTTGCAAATTTCTCTTAAAGAAATACAAAATCAAGAGATTTCTTATGGCTAAGAACATGAAAAAAGTGCATGTGACGCTGAGTGTTTCGAAAAGAACTGAGGATCGAGCTGTAATAGGAAAGGAACTTGTTATCAATAACAATTTCAGTTCCCCCTCGAAACACATCAGCTGTCGAATGACCCAGTTCCAGTTGCTTCTGTTGTTCATTTCGCGCCTGAGACTTCCAAATCTTCACCAGGTTATGTATTACACAAGTGCGAGTCTAGCCCAGAAGAAACATCCATCCATGTTGCCAATGAGCCTCGCGTCATCTTCGCTAGTGCCTCTAGCAAGACAAGGAATGATTTCCTGGCCTGCCTCTTGAAAAGATTAATTCTAAAAAGCAAAGAAGTTGCCTGAACGTACACTTTCTTGGGCAACTAGAAATGAATAGAATATACTAAAGCCTTAAAAGCACAATTATCCCTGATCCTGAATATATCGCCCGATGCAGGAATCATCCATGCAGACATCCCCCTTCATCTGACTTGGGCCACCTTCCGAGAAAGAGTGACGCATCTACTCAAGTCTCTGCAACAAATATCATTCTTGATGAAACTTCAAGTTTCTGTACTGAAACTTTGCGGAAACCTTTACGGTATTGCAATATCAATGGAAACCGCGCGGACCTAAAAAGTGGAACAGCACACACATAGAAATTTAACAAAGTGAGTGTTTGTGACAAATCACAGGAATCTCAGCACACAATGTGCCTCAAATACATAAAGAACAGAAAAAACAATATTAGTCTCAAGAGGTCCTTTGTTTGGAGTAACATGTCATTTCAGAACAGAAAATGTGCACAATGTGGGTAATACACCTGATGATGAGGAAGACCACTCTGAGTATACATTGTATCATATGGTGGAGACGGGCAAAAAACCACCCTACTCTGTGTCCTTAAACTTGAATGAGTTGACCAGTCCATGGAGTTTGTTACTGGAGCCTGTGAAACTGTGATTAGTGAAGAAGCATACAAGATTTTTTTGTAAATCTGACCCTCAGTTGAACTTTAAACTTTCATAATAAGCGGAGAAACAGAGCGGATGACTTTAATGACAGGCAGTGGAAAACCAGATGGTGTGGTTCCGATTTTCAAGAAGACTCTCTGTCATTCACATTTAAGAGTGGAGATAAAGGGAAAAAGAAGGAGAAAATTTCCCGTTTTATTTACAGCATCCGTAAAGGAATGCATCAACGTCCTCGCCTGTTTTAGAGAAAAAGGTCACCCGCGTGGCGCAGTGGTTAGAGCGTATGCTCTAGAATCGCGAAGTAAGGAGTTGATCCTTACGTCGCGGGTTCGAATCCCACTGTGGGACGTGGAGACCGGTCCTTCGGATGAGACCGTATAAACCGAGGTCCCGTGTCGCAGTAGGTGCTGGCACGAAAAAGATCCCTCACTGCTCAATGGCCGTAAGTGCCAAGTATAGGACAAAATTTGCAGCTCTCCACCGGCAAGTGGTGCCGTCTCCATATGAGTGAAAAATTCTCGAGAGGGACTTAAAACAACATACAAACAAACTAGAGAAAAAGCAATTGTAACCCAACCATTTATTTCTACAGAACTGGACCTTGCACAAAGCCATATAGAGGGACTGTTTTCATCGGAAGATTTGCAAAGGAGGCAGGATTAGAAAATCCGAATACCATTAGTTCAACTAAACTTAGGACACAACTAGCAAAAATAGTCTATGTTTTAAACCTCAAAGAAACAACCCAAGATATTTTGGCTACATTCCAGGGCCACGACAAAAAGGGTTCACTGAGAATTTTATAGACTCCCTGAAAATGCACTACAGAAATGTAAAACACTAGTGTCCAACTCTGGAAGACTAGTTAAGGTTAAGTTATGACCCGTAGTAATGGCCGTTTTTGACCTGTTTTTGTCAAAGCTGGTTTTCTCAGCGTCTATCTGTTGTCTCATTTCATATGTAATTATGTTTGAGGCGAAAAGATGTCCCGCAACAGGAACAGCCATCATCTTCTTCACCAATTTCGAGTAGTTTGCCTTAATCACGTCTTGATGTTTTTGCTCCATTTTTGTTGACGACAAGGAACTATCTGAGATTTGCTCAAGACTGATGAACATTTTCAAAATGTTACAAGTTCATATATGTTTTAAGTCACGTGGCTCGTAACTGTAGCCTCTCCCTTGACTGTAGACTCCCCCATGACGTCAGTGACTGTAGACTCCTTCGGAATAAGGATGATCTTTTTTTTTTTGTCTGAAAATTTCACTATCTTGTCCATAGTCCCTCTTCTTTGACAATTCTACATTTTATTCCTGCAACACTTTATATATGATTATGTGCTTTTAAAATAGATACACCATCCATATGATCTAAAGATGTTTTTAGGTACTGCCACTGTTTTACTGAAAGTAATTCCTTCGTTCCCCGGTTTTCCAGAATGAAATCGTACGTCGTATGTCAACCTGTATGGTGTCGTTGGCGCATATGATGGCATATACTTCGTTGGAGATGGTCCGAAATATCTAATGTTTTCCTGGCCTTTTTACTATTTTTATATTTTACGTGCCAGGAAAACGTGAGAACCGGCGCCCTTACAAAAACTGGGAATTCGCAGCCTCCAACCAGAGGCGACATTCTCGGGTTGATTTTCGATACTTGCAAAGCAAATAAAATGTCAAACTCACATTTTATCAATAGTGCAATGCTCACCAACATCGTTAATATAATTCGTTTATAAAATATACAAAACGATGAGAACATTTTATCTGACCCCCTCGACATTTATTTTTATTTCGTTTAATTTAAAATCTTTCAAGTCCTGTATAGAAATGATGACTGATGTTTTCTTCTCATCGATATTGTCGAGTATTAAAAGCATTTTACTATTGATAAAATGTGGGTTGGTTTGTTTGTTTGTTGTTTAACGTCCCTCTCGAAAAATTTTCACTCATATGGAGACGCAATCACTTGCCGGTGGAGAGCTACAAATTTTGACCTATACTCGGCACTTAGGGCCATTGAGCAGTGAGGAATCTTTTTCGTGCCAGCACCTACTGCGACACGGGACCTCGGTTTATACGGTCTCATCTGAAGGACCGGTCTCCACGTCCCACAGTGGGATTCGAACCCGCGACGTAAGGATCGACTCCTTACTCCGCGACTCTAGAGCGAACGCTCTAACCACTGCGTCACTGCACTTCTTATGGTTCCTGAAGTAATATGTCTGCCTTGATGCTAAGCAATGTCATGGAAATGCCTAACAAGAAGAGTAGCTATGTGATGCTTTCCTGGGACCACAATAGGGTTTATCTCGGATCATGGCATGTTACTTCTGTTAAGGCGTCCTCCAACTCTGGGAATGCCATCTGGGTCAAGGAAAACATCCAAGGATAGCAAAGAGCTTGACTCAGGTAATGCTTTGTTTTGCATGAGATAATCAATTTCTTCTGTAAAAACTTCTTGTTGAACAGTCCTGACAATGAATTTCTCTGCTTCTTGAAATGCCTCAACAATTCGTGATTTGGTGCAGTAATGCCAACCACTACATCCACTCAGTCCAGCGAATGATCTTGTTACATGTTGCAGAAATGCAACCCGTACGCACAAGAATTTTCCATGTAGAAAACTTCGAGAATCTGCGAGATCAGAGCAATGAAAGCAACGTGTTGGTTTTCTTACAAGTAACATCAGGCCTTACTTCTCTATCACCATCTGGATTCACTATCTCAAAGTCTTGCTGTTTACTCTCACTTTGCTGAGACAGGTAAGTTGGTCCATTCAATCATGTGCCGTCTTTCAAATGATGAGCTGGCAGTGGTCGTGTAGCTTGATTTGCCGGGTTCTGTTCAGTTGGTATGAAAGCCCACTGCTCAGGTCTGGTCATTTTCCTGATGTAGGAGATACGATTTGTTACATAAGTGTAAAATCGTCGTGTTGTGTTGAAAATCTAACCTAACACAACCTTGCTGTCAGAATAAAACTTAAAGTCTGTGATTTGTAGAGACAAATGATCTGCAATAGAGCATCCAACCTCGACTGCAAGCACCGCAGCACATAGTTCCAATCTTGGTATAGAATGGCCATGTGTTGGAGTGAGTTTTGCCTTTCCTAAAACAAATCCAGTGTGACACTTGCTTTCTGAGGAAGTTGTCATGATATAGCCAGCTGCAGCAATGGCAAATTCTGAGGCGTCACAAAACACATGTATACGTTTTTCTTTACAACGTTTTAGGGACTCGGGGAAGTAGTTGCGAGATATATGTAGATCTTCTAATTTAATTAAAGAGTCTCTCCAATGTCTCCAAGTATCTAGTTGATCTTCAGACAGGGGTTCATCCCATTCTTTAGTGCCAAGAACCAAGTTCCTCAATATGTTCTTTCCTTGTATGACGACAGGGGCTAAGAATCCCAGAGGATCAAATATGCTGTTAATGCATGACAGTATGCCTCTTCTGGTAAATGATTTATCTTTAGTCATAACCTCAAAGAAGAAGGTGTCAGTTTCCAAGTTCCAGTTAAGGCCCAAACTGCGCTGATTTGGAAGCAGATCAATTCCAAATTCTAGGTCTTTCATGTCTTTTGTGAGATCTTCTGGCGAGAAGGCACTTAGGACTTAATTTTGGTTCGAAGCGATCTTGTGAAAGTGTATGCCCACCTTTTGCCTAAGCTGCCTGCGTCTTCTTCATGACATCTATAGCCTCTGATGATGTGGGTGAGGAAGCAAGTCCATCATCTACATAGAAATTGTTCAACACAAAGTGTGTCACATCTATACCGAAATCTGGTTCTGCCATGAGTGCTGCCCTACGAAGCCCATATGTGGCAACTGCTGGACACGGTCAGTTGCCGAACACTTGTACCTTCATACGATAATCTATCATAGGCTGAGCTGGATCATTGTCGCGAAACCAGAAAAATCTCAGAAAATTGCGATGGTCTTCGTGCACTTTGAAGCAATAAAACATTTGCTGTATGTCACCCATAACTGCAACAGGCTCTTGGCGGAATCTCATCAAAACTCCTAACAGGCTGTTTGTGAGATCGGGACCAATAAGCAAGGCATCATTAAAAAAGTCCCTCCATACTTGGCTGAAGAGTCAAAGACTGCTCTCAACTGGTTGGGCTTTTTAGGATGGTATATCCCAAATATAGGTAAGTACCAGCATTCATCCTCATGAGATAAAGGAGGAGCAATTTCTGCATGTCCGTTCTTAATAAGTTCATCCATAAAGGTAGGAAAATGTTCCTTTTTCACTGTGTCTTTTTGTAAACTAACTTTTAAAGCTTTGGCTCTCCTCAATGCAAGACTTCTGTTGTTTGGAAGCTTTAAACAGGGTTGCCTAAATCGGAGTGTAGCTGTCCAATATCCATTTTCATTCTGGTGGAATTCTTTGTCCATTATCTCGAAGTTTTGCTGCATCAAAGCCATACGACACACTTTTTTCGCTTATCTTGAACTCATTTGTGCATGGTGGAAGATAGGATACTCGACCTGATCCCAAGAAATGAGTCTTGTAAGTTGTGATGTGGGTAGGTGCATGCGTCTTGCCAAGGCAGGTCTCTCCTATTACTGTATAGTCCATCCTATATGCAGTTTCTGTCCGTAGGGTTGATTCCCTTGTCCTATAACGTTGATCAAGCACATGATGTGCTTTTACCACATCTCTTCCTAGAAGTAACAATATCTCCGCATCTGGATCCAATGGCGGTATAATGTTTGCTATGTCGGCGAGATGACTGTAGTGTGAGGCCACTTCTGGTGTAGGAATTTCTTCAAGTACACAAGGAACTTACTGACACTCGATGAGAGATGGAAAATTCAGGGTACAATTATGGTCTAATGATTCGGCAACAAATCATTCTGCTTTTCTCCCACATGCTTGTATAGTACCACCACAAGATGACAGTGTAAGTTATGGCATCACTACCACAATCAAAATAGGTAAAGAATCTTGGGCTAGCAAGTGAACGATTTGATTGATCATTTATGACAGCATACATGTTGACTGCTAGCTGAGGTTTTCCACGTGGGAATACACGCACAAGCACTGTTCTTGAACAAGACTTGCCACCAAACTGTCTTTTACAAATCTGTGTACATGCAGAGCTGACATCCTCTGATGAATTATGCGGCTCCCCGCCATACTGCCTCCTGTTTTGAATCTCCACATGAAGTGCTGTAGGATGGGTCAAACTGTCACAATCTTCGCACTTTACCGTCGCTCTACATTCACGCATCTTGTGGGAATTAGAGTCACAACAACGAAAACATATATTGTTCTCTTTCAAAAATTTCTTTCTTTCTTCCAAGGATTTTTGTCTGAATCCCTTTCACTTATTCAAGGAGTGAAAGATGTGATGTAGGGGGGCACTTCCTGTCTGAGGTGTTTTCTCTTGTGGATTGTAAAACCTTAGTTTTCCTGGAGGAAACATTTATCAATCTGTTCTTGGTTTGTCCGTCTCCTCTTGTTTCAACACCATAGGCAAAAGATGGGTTGTTCCTGATTCTCGACTGTTCGCGAAGGAATTCTGCAAAAACCTTGAAGGGAGGGCCCTCCATTTGCTGTCATGTGTTTCACGGCTACAGAAGTCCATTTTCCTTGAAGATCACTCGGGAGCTTCTTGACTATTGGGGTTATGCCAGTAGAGCAATCAAAATATGAAAGAAGGCATGAATATTGTGTCCTTTGCAGCTTCAATTTCATCTAAAATGTCTGACAAATCATAAAGGCGATTAAGATCCTTGTTGGTCAAAGTTGGAAATGAGGCTAACTTAGACTTCAAAGCTGCTTCCATCATTTCCGGACACCCATACCTTTCGCCAAGACGGTTCCAACTCCTTGTCAATGCTTGAATTGGATTATTAGATTTGGCAGCCTTGAAATTTAGGACATGGCGTTTCGGCAAGGGGCCTGTCCATTTTACGAGAAGATCCATCTCCTCGATTGGTGAAGCTTGTAGTTCATGCATAATTGCTTTGAAACTGTTTTTCCATGTGGGGTAAAACTCGGGTTTGTCGTTAAAGTTTGTTAAACGGGACAATAATAACTGTTTCTTTAATAAGTATCTGGTGAAGTCTGAAACAGATGTTGATGTTGTTCCCACTTCTGGAAAAATTTGAGTGCTTTGCATGGTAGATACTTGTGTACTTTGGCTTGTCGGTACTTGTGTACTTTAGCTTGTCGGTACTTGCGTACTTTGGCTTGATGTTGGTGAAAGCTCAAGTGGAGGAGCCTGGGAAATAACAAATGCTTCTTGAAAAATTGTCCTGGGCTGATCAGAAAATATAATGGATGGTGGAGTATTTTCTACATATGCAGTTGTTCTGTCTGCCGTTACTTCCTGTTCTAAACTCTTGAGGGCGGATTTCATAGAATCGCTTTCTTCACCTTCTTCTAAAATGTTGGCTTCAGTTTCAAGAGCTTCCCTTTTTAAGTTCAACAATGTCATTTCTGTGTTCACTAAGGCACTTTCCTTTTCTGTGATGGCATGTTGTAGAGATAGCTCTGCTTGTTTCCTCTCTAATTTTGCCAGATCTTCTGCAAACTTTAAGGAAGCCTTCAGGGCCTCAGCTTTTGCTCGCTTCTTGGTGGCAATAGATGTCAGACTGCGGCTGGAAGATTTCGAGATCGTGAGACTTGTGACGCATTTTCTTGAAATTGAAGATCTTGGATGTTCAGGTTCAGCAGTATTCTGTAGCCTCGTAAAGTCATGTTAAAACGTTCCATTTCTTGGTCACTGTGGTCAGAACGTTGTCTGTTCAAGAAGTCCAGGTAGCTTGTGCATTGTGATTCTAGCTTGGTAACGTTTTTTTATATCATTGTATAAACCGGCAAGTTCTTCTATTGTGCATGATTTCCTTGATGTTTCTTGCACACTCTTTTATACCCCCGCTCCGAAGGAGAGGGGGGTATACTATTTTACCCATTTGTGTCTGTCTTTCTGTCTGTCTGTGTGTCTGTCTGTCCGTAACAAATTTTGGTTGCAGTTTTCTCAGGAACTACTCATTGCAGATGCTTGAAATTTTAGCACAATCTTTGTTTAGGCATGCCATATGGTGGGATTCATTTTTGTACGAATCGGATGTCAACTTCCTGTTTATCCGTGCGTCTGTCCGTACCACACATAACAAACTCTGGTAGTGGTTTTCTCAGCAACTACTCATCGCAGATGCTTGAAATTTTAGCACAATCTTTGTTTAGGCATGCCATATGGTGGGATTCATTTTTGTACTAATCCAATGTCAACTTCCTGTTTATCTGTGCGTCTGTCCGTACCACACATAACAAACTCTGGTAGTGGTTTTCTCAGCAACTACTCATCGCAGATGCTTGGAATTTTAGCACAATCTTTGTTTAGGCATGCCATATGGTGGGATTCTTTTTTGTACTAATCCGATGTCAACTTCCTGTTTATCCGTGCGTCTGTCCGTACCACACATAACAAATTTTGGTCGTAGTTTTCTCAACAACTACTCATTGCAGATGCTTGAAATCTTAGCACAATCTTTGTTAAGCCTTGCCATATAATGGGATTCATTTTTGGAACAAATACGATGTCAACTTCCTGTTTATCCGTGCGTTTGTCCATACCATACGTAGCAAATTTTGGTCGTAGTTTTCTCAGCAACTAATCATCGCAGATGCTTGAAATTTTAGCACAATCTTTGTTTAAGCATGCCATATGTTGGGATTCAGTTTTTACAAATCCGATGTCAATTTCCTGATTATTACTGTGTTTGTCCATAACTGAACTTGTGTATTCACATCAGAGCGGGGGTATTATTAGTGAGCATTGGCTCACAGACTTGTTGTTTATAATCTTTATTATAATCTCAAGTACACTCCATATCATTTCTATTTGTCTGATATGAGAATTACACAAACTTTCAAACTGTTCTAAACCTTTTTCCGTCATGTTAATCTTCCTGTGAATATTTTCTTCCAAGTGTTGACTTTTTGTTGATTCTGCAACCTCTTCAGTTTTCAAGGAATCGGATCCTGGATCTGGTTGGTCATATATATATCGCTGCCGTACCCACCTTCCCCCTTTTTGGGAATGGAATTCATAGAGAAATGGGGGAGGAAAGCCCTGTCCTCCTCCCCCCTTTGATATCGAAATCATTAAAAAGTGGGATAGCTTGAACAAATGGGATAAAATGGGTGGATGTGCTCTCTCTCTCTCTCTCTCTGTCTCGCGCGCGCCTTGCATCTTGTGATGTTGCCGCTCCCTTACCCTTTGTCAAAAAAAGGTCAACTTAGTACTTTTGCAAGATGGCGTTGAACATAATCGCAGCAGTTTCTGTTATGTCTCCTGCTCTCTAGGGTGTTATCTGCCACCCCAGAGTGCACACCTTTTACAGTGTGTTGTGAGGGTGAGGAGTTTTTCGTGAATTGCAAAGGTGAATGTGAATGCATTCGTTTTTTTTTTTGGCTGGGGGACAGGCTGTGAATTTGACATCGACACCCGGGAGATACGTTTTGATTCCCGGTACCTGACAGTGGTTATCCATGGTCAGGTACACCCTCGTCAAGGTAAGAGGACTCTTTCTCTCTCCTCTCCTATCTCTCTCTG